TGGGCATAGATTTTTGTCTTTTTTTTTAAGGCATCACAGCTGGTCTAATGCATACTCAGCATGGCCTTTGACAGAGATAAGTAGACAGAGGGGCTATGCCCCTTCTTGGATGAATGACGGTTTCAAAATAATGACCTCTAAGCACTGGCTGCCCAGAAGCCGGGAGCCACTTACAGTTTCCTCACAAGGGGAGAGCTTGAACCCTCACATACTCCCTTGCTCCTGACAAATATTTGGCAAGCGGGGTCCGAGGCCGGGCTGGCAGGGATTGCTCACAGCCTGGGAATGCCTTATCTTCCGGGTGTGGGTGCTGTGCCTGTTCTCTGTTTGCTCTCTGTACACTTAGTAGGTGGAGTGAGGTGGGAACTGGCTATGGCCCCATGATTCACACTAAATCTCAGCTTTCCACAGCTCACCCTTCCCCGAGCCCTCTCTGCCATGCCACACCCCACCTTGTGCCTGGCTCCCTGGTTCTGAAGCCCTCATGACTGTTTCTGAATCCTCTGGGCTCAGCCTGTACCCGTCCTCCCCTGGAGAGCCACTCCCTGACTCTTGGGCCCATTAACCAGCTGAGCCTGTCTCTTCCTTCAAGGCTGGGTTGAAACTGTGCACCAGGTCAGGCTGCTTTGCCTACCTGAGGACTGGCTGTCGGCCTTCACTGAACAGTTGGCCCTGAGGATGCTCAAGTCTGTTATATAAAGCAGTGTAGTGTTTTTCTGTACCCTGAGCATATCCTCCTATGCATTTAAATCATCTCTAGATGACTTAAAATACCTAATGCAATGTAAATGATTGCTTAGGGAATAATAGCAAGGGCGGGGGAAGCCTGTATTATGTTCAGAACAGATGCAGGTTTTTCTCAAGAGTATTTTTGATCTGCAGTTGGTTGAATCCATGGCTGCAGACCTGTGGCTATGAAAGGGTGGCTGAAAGGGGCTGCTGATGGGCCTGACTCTGCTGGGCGCTCAGTCTCCTGAGTGAGCCGAGACTTCTCCCCTGTCGTGAGTAGGACTGGGCACAGGGTCAGAAGCTTCACACTCACGCCTGTGTCCACGGTTTCAGCCAGTTCACACCAGCCACAAGTGGGGAGACCTTGCCCAGTTGCCACTTGCACAGGAGGAGCCTGAGGCTGAACCTCTTGCCACAGTCTCCTCATGGGACTCCCTGCAAATGCTGCTGCCCCATGCAGACCTCGTAGAGCCACACATGCACAGGAAGCCTTTGATCACCCCAGCTATTGCAGCTGCCAGCGCACTTTCCCGCTGGGCTTCTCACATCAGAGACCAGAGCAGAAGGTCATGCACCAAAAGGGCACTTGTGTGTGGCCAGGTGAGATGGAAGTTGACTCTTTCTCAGGCATCCGGCCAGCCCTGCCCTTGTCTGTGTCCCCTTCCTCCTGCTCATCCCCTCAGGATTGCTCTGCGCCACCTCAGTCCCCTCCCCGGGTGCCCCCTGTGGCTCCATCCTGTGGCAGTGGTGGCAACTATGTGCCATGACCCAGGCAACTCCTGGCCAGGGCAGTAAGGATCACAGGAGAGCCCCACTGCTCTCTACTGGGAGCAAGGCCCTGGGGTCACAACAATTTCATCTCTGCTGAGGAAATGACTTCCATGCATGGTGTGACAAGATTTTGGAACAAACAGGAATGTCTCTCCTGTAAGAACATCCCTGAGAACCAGTGGCTCCATGGCTCTTTCTGGCTTAGAGATGAGGCACCCCCACTGAGTGTGGGATCTGCAGTGGGAGAGATATTCTATAAGAGTCCCCATGAGAGATGGTTTCTCACCTTGAAGACATGATGCTAAATGAAAGTGAGTCACAGAAGTCTATATATTATATGGTTCCACTCACAGGAAAGTTCAGAACAGGAAATCTATAAAGACTAGAAGTAGATTAGTGGTTGCCAGGACAGGAAGGAAAGCAATGGCTGATGGTTACAGGGTTTCTTTTTGAGATGATGGAAGATGTTCTAATGTTGGCTGTGGTGATGTTTCCCATATCTGTAAATTTATTAAACGCCCCTGAATCATGCACTTTCTGTGGGTGATTTGCATGCTATGTGAATTACATCTCATTAGAGCTGTTTTTATTTATTTATTTATTTTTGGTACCAGAGATCGAACTCAGGTCCTTGCACTTGTGCAACAGGCGGCGAAACCACTGAGCTAAATCCCTGGCCCTGAGCTGTTTTTAAAAGAGAGAGTTTCACCCACCATCTCACTATGAAATCTACTATTGTAGATAAACCATGCAAAAATAAAAGTCCACCTAAATTTTAAAAGGAACTTTATGCAGGATAATGCATCCAGGGCAACACAGGGTCCTGAGGTCCATCTGGGGCCAGGGGCTGGGCTTGTGTACAATGAGATTTGTCTTGTGGGCAGCTGTGGACAGGGGTGCCAACTGTAGACTCCAGAGATCTGTATGAAAGTGCGCACGCATGGGTGTACATGTGTGTGACAGACAAAGACAGAGACAAAGACAGAGAGACGGAGAGAGAACACATTTTCCCAGAAGGTGAAATAGCCTTCATCAGACTGGAGCAAACACACCCAAAGCTGAGTCTGACTTCAGCCCAGTGTTTCCTCCTGCATGGCACAGTCACCAGAATTCAGAGTCAAAGCTTGCAGACAGCATGACACACCAGGCTGGTGCCACCACTCAGACTGTGCCTCATTTTCCTGCCCTTGAGTCCTGACCCTTCTCAGGGCACACAGGGTAGCATGAAGCAGGAAGAGGTAAAGAAAGATGGCTCCGCAGACCAGGCACTGAGAGCCACGTCTTAGATGGCCACATCCACACATCACCTGGGCATTCATTTACTTGTATGTATTTGACAGTTAAAGCCCCCAAATTGTGATGTTGCTGCTGTAAACTGAAAAACTTTTAAAAAATGCCACTGTCCAATTCAATCCCTGCCTGTACTCACAGAGAATTCCAGACACCTGGCTGCACCCTGAGCCATCCTTGCTTGGTCAGAATGACCCAACAGAGTGAAAGAGAACTGTTCCCCTGTGGTGACATCCAGTTCCTCAACAACAAATCAACTAGCCTGCCATGAGCACCCCTCTGACTCACTGGGTTCTGCACAGATTCCATAAAAGAGTGTTCCCCACAATGGGCAGCCCACATTGCTCCTTGGGGATTTAGTCCCTAAGTCATTTTAGCTTAGCCACATGCATCTACCAGGAGACTGAAGGCCAGAAACCAACCTGGACAGGGAATGACTAGGTAGGTCTTCCTGGTGTCCCCTGGGAGCCAGCTGCAGTGAGCAGTTCACCCACTGCCACCTGGTCCAGAAAAGTGCCACTTTGCCACTAACTAAATAGAACAGTGTTCAAGCTGAGGGCCACAGAGATAAGCAGGATTCCTTGCAAAAAGATGAACCAGGAACCTGATGTACGCTCACCCCTCAGATGGTCACATGGATTGCTTAGGAGAGGGATGTCCCAGGCCAATCCTTCTCTGTACCCACTACATGGACAGACCCATTTGACCTTAATGTCTTCATGCCACTCTTATGCCTCCTAAATCCAAGTTCTGCTCAGCCAGTTACATGCACATGACCCTTTGCCAGTGTTTATTAAGGAAAGGGCCAAGTCTAAAGTCTGTTTGATCTTATACTCAACTGTGAATAAAATCTGCACACATCTCATTCTGTTGCAGTCTAAGGATTCTTATTTAATTGATTTTGCTCTACTTTGCATAAGGTGTACAGCGTGTTCCCCTGGCTCTGTCACATGACATCTGATAATCAAATGTCCATCAGTGGATAAAGTTTTCTGGTCAGAGATGCCCACATCTGATTCATTCAGCACAACTGGATTTTGGTAAATCCAGATTCTCCATGTCACTGATTTTTCTATCTAAATGTGATTCTGCTGATGTTGCCCAGCCAAGAGGCTCAGAGGACACCTGCAAAGACAGTGATAACTCTGATCAGCAGGTGGGCAGCAGATCTGGGGAGATGGGGTCAGGGTATTGGTGAGTTCTCGCCACAGGGGATGAGGGACCAGGAGGCCAGCCCATCCACAGGCCCAAATGCTCGAGTATTTTAGAGACTGCTGGCTGCGAAGTCTTCTACATACAGGTCCCAGCCCAGTCCTTATCTGGGCAGGGCACAGGTGGATGAGGCTGAGCTGATTTTCCACGAGGGTGAAGAGGATTAAGAAGTAGAGAAAATCCTAGCTAAGTGCCTGAGCCACCGAGGGTATTAGTGGCCCCTGTGCTTGTCCATGTGCTCCTCTCTGAACATAGCTCATGGCCCTGGTGACATCAGCTGTTGTGTTTTTGGCTAACTTGGGTTGCTTGTCTCACTCCTGTCCTTAGCCATTGGAGGGGACAGGACAAACTCGAGCTCACTCCACTCCAACCTCAATGCTAACAGTCAGGGCACTTCCTGAAATTGGCAATAAGGGGTAAAGTCTTTTAAAAAAAAAACCACAACAACAAAAAACTAATAACATAGTGTAGCTAAAGAACTTGCTCCCATTTCATAAAGAAAGTGTATTTTAACAGCAAAGCAAATGGGGAAAATAGGATCTCAGAAGAAAAGCTAGTCTTTCTAATGATAATTTTGGATGCTTTAAGTTCTTCCTTGGAATGACAAGTTAACTTTGCTGCCATCTGCCTCAATTTCCCCATCTGACAAATAAGTTAGTACCTCACTCAGCGTTGTTACAAGAATTAACTGAGTTCACTTTGTGAAGTGCTTAGGACAGCATCTAGCATATAAGTGTACTGTAAATATCTGTATAAAATAAAGATTGCATTTAAGAAATACGAAAAGAAACATAGCAGGCACTTGAAAAAACTGAAATTAGAGATCTAGCCCAGGGCATTTCAGGATGAAAGTCTCTTTGGTGAGAATGCACTGCCCTGTTCTCTTTGCCTCCTTCCTGTGTTCCTGCATCCCCAGAGTCCCCATGTGGCCTGGGGGCCCGGGCCTTCGGGGGCTGCAGCTCTCCTCCTCCCACAGTGCTCCTGCCTCTCCCCTGCAGGTCTTCGGGGGCCTGGTGTGGATCCTGGTGGCCTCCTCCCTGGTGCCCATCCCCCTGATCCAGGGCTGGGTGATGTTCGTGTCTGTGTTCTGCTTCATGGCCACCACTGCCCTGCTCATCCTGTACATAATTAATGCCCACGGCGGGGAGACATCCTGGGTCACTCTGGTGAGTCCCTGCTGAGCATGTTGGGTGGGGGAGGTAGTACTGGACCCTCTGCTGCCCTGGGAGTCTGGCTTGTCCAGGCCTGGGTGGGGATGCCTGGTGGATGCCTCCCAACACATTGCAGGGTGAGCTGGCCCAAGCCTCAGCTCAGACTCTGCACAGTGGCCCGGGGTCCTTACAACAAGGTCAGAAGGTGGAGGCCGAGGGTGACCAATCTGCAGCCAATTCACATTGGGCTATTCTGCTTTTTCTCCCTTCACTATTTTTCACTGACAAGCAGCAGCCTAGCCCCTCCCCACACCCCCTGCACTTCCAGGCAGCTGGCATCAGCTGGGGTGTTTCCATCTTGGAGCAGCAAGGTCTGGATGTTGACCCTCAACCAATGGCTCCCCAGTGGTCACGCTTACCTCCCAGCTCCCCAGCCACTACCTTCCAAGCATGGCTACCAGAGAGGATTTGGGGACAAAAATGGCCTGTGGTCTTTCTTCTGTACAAATCCTGCTTCGGGGACCTGGAAAAGGACATTTATATAAGAGACACCTTCAAGTTTCTTATGCCTCTGCCTCCCAAGTTAGACTTTTGAAATCACTTCCAAATACAACTACACAAAACTGTGTTTTAGTTCCTTTCTTTTGCTTTAAAATATACCAGGAGCCAAAATAAGTAAATAAAGCCAATGAAAACAAAAAAACAATGGAAGAGGCCTCAGTCTCTCTCGTCCTTTACCAGGCAAGGGGGCCCCATCTGAGCCATGACTAAGACCACTTATGACACATCCTGGGTCATATCCCAGGGTGCCCCCCAATTTCTCAGCCGACCCCACCTCAAGGGAAAGCAATGCCCTTTCTTCAGCCAAGTGTGTGTGTCCCTGGGTCCAAGGCCCAGAAACACAGCTTACCTGGACAGAACTGTTCAACCCACCTCCGTGAGGAGAGGGTTTTGGGGCACAGGGAGTGGGACTCAAGGGAAGTAGTAGGAGATAAAGAAGAAACCTGAGCTGGGCCTGGTGGGGGCAGAGCAGGTTGATTACATCTCCACATCTAGGCTGGTGTCACTTTCTCTCCATCTCACACCTGCCCTTTCTGACCCACAGGATGCAGCCTACAACTGTGTGGCTGCCCTGTTTTACCTCAGCGCCTCAGTCCTGGAAGCCCTGGCCACCATCCTCACGCGTGATGGTTACACCTATAAGCAGTACCACGAAAACATCTCAGCTGTGGTGAGTCCCTGGCCATCTGTGCTCGCCACCCACTGGCCGCCTCATTTCTGACCCAACAAAGCCCCCAAGATGGAAAGGGATGTGCCCTCAACTCCCTGAGTCTTCTGCTCAGGGCTATGCAGCCCAGGTCTGGGGTGGGCTCAGGGACTCAGGCCTGGATGGGCTGTGCAGCAGGTGGCATCTGAGCAGCCGATGGTCGTGGAGAGCCTGGCGCTGATTGAGCGATCCCTGAACAATCTAGCAACCCTGTGGCATAAGTGCTATTATTATACCCATGTCACAGATGGAGAAGTCAGACACGGTGAGCTTGGGTCTCCCATCAAGATCATCAAGTGTCATCCCCTGAAGCACACAGTCAGGGCCTGCTTGTCTTCTAATGGGATGGATGAGAACAACAGAGAATAAGAGACTGTATTGTCACAAAAGTGATCTTTCAGGAGTTATGCATATGGGCCCTCGGATCAGTGGGCTAGCTCACAATAGGAAGCAAATTTCTAACTGTGGGTAGTGCTTTAAAAATAAGAAAAATTTCAGAAAACATGCCCCAGATTCCTAGAAATTGACCTGTGAGTCATGCAGATATGGAGGCACATATGGCAACAGATGCCAAGTGCCTGCTCCTCGGCCCACTGTGTCCCCCTCCTGTGGGAAGGAGTGGAACACAGGCTGAGTGAAGCCCATGAGTGGGAATAGGTGGGCTTTGAAATGGAGTCTCCCAGAGGGAGGGGACTGAGGAAAGGCTCCTCAGAGCCTTGTCCCTGTGGGCCAATCTCCCATCCTGGGGAGCCACACACTCCCCTTGAGCTCCCAACCTACAGTTGCCTCCCCAAATTATATGGTGACCTCAGGATCCTCATCACCCCTGATGTCCTCACCGTGTGGGGACATCTCCCAGCAGAGCCAGTTTCTAAACAGTGACCCAGCCAGGTAGCTTCTTGGTTGCTCTCCTTGGCTGGGAGGCTGCTGACCCACCTCCTTCCATCTATCATGTGACTGAGTTTCACCTCTCTGTCTGTGGGTCATCTGACAACTCTCCCAACCCAAGCTCAGAGCTTCTTTCTTAACAGACACGAGCAAGGCCTGTGACAATTCCCATAAAATTGTTCTGCATAATGGTAGCAAAATGTAGATGGAATGTGGTTAGTGGGTCAGCATGTAGTGAGAAAACCCAAGTTGGGGGCTTTAATGCTGGGGAAGGTCTCTAGTTGAGAACCACTGGGCTCTACTGTATTCCAACTTTTCTCTTTGACTTTTTATTGAAAATAAAATACTTTTATTTTTGTAAAACATACATTTTTATTTCAAAAAACATACATCATGGGAAGTATGTGGGTTAAGCATGTACAGCTTGATGAATGGCTAGGAAGTGCACATCCTGTAGTGAGGATCCAGGTTCAGAAATAGGATACAACAAACAAGCTTCCAGAAACGCACCTCTTGTCCTGTCACCTCTGCCACCAGCCAATTTTAGATTTCTAGCATCCAGTTCACTTTTGCCTATCTTTGAACTTCACGTAATTGGGATCAGAGAGGGTGTTTTCTTTTATGCCTGGCTTCTTTCCCTCAGCCTTGTGAGATTCATCCATGTGGTTGGACATAGGGGTAGGTTGTTTATTCTCATTGCTGTACAGTATTCTACTGTAGGACTGTAGTGACATCTATTTATCCATTCCACATTGGATTGTGTTCCCCTGCTTGTTAGAGGAGTTGGACAGACATGAGCACCTGGCAAAGTCAGGAGTACTCACACTAAATTCGGAATGTTCTCAGGAGGCAAATGCACCAAGCTGAAACCACAAGTTGAAATACAAACCAAATTCAACATATTTCAATTTCCATTGAAAAGAAACTGGATTAGTGCATGACATGATTTTTGGGTGGTGTTGGAAGCAGCCACTTGAGGAATTTGAGGTCTGGGGTACCTCAGAACTTTACTTACACCTCCCCAGCCTTTGGAAGCATCCAGCCTGTGTCTCGCCTCTCTGTGGTTCTGGTTAGGACCTGTCTCAGAAGCTGGGCTCCCTCCCTGTCTCCTTTGTTGGTGGTGGTACTTCTTCACCAAAGAGGTCCAGGATATTGGTAGAAGTGACTGAAGAGAGCTGGAGATTTCTGGAGAAATCTGGAAGTTTCTAGATCTTACCATGGTGTGCAATAATGGCAGCAGTTTAGAGAAAAAGCCAAACATGACTCTGTAAGCCTCCAGTTCAAAATGTCCCCACTGTGTTATTTCTCTACCTCATTTGAAAAAATAAGTTTCTATTTCCTGCTGGGACATCTGAGGTGGTTCTACCAAAGGTTCTCCTTGGGTTGATATGTCCCATCTGATTTTGGGGGGGCTGTTCACTCATGTGTGACTGCTCCTTTCTGGACAGGTTATCTTGAATTTGCTATTGAATAACTCAGCTTACTCATCACCTGTGGCAGATGAGGGCTTTGCCCATGTGTGGGGGCATGGAGAGAGTGGCCGCGGGCTGGCTGGTGTTTATAGGCATTTTCAAGAGTCACAGAGGCGTAGCTGCCCCAAATGTTGTTCCCAGACTGGAAATTCTTAACTCTCTGCCCAAGGTCACAAAACCAGGTGCAGCTATTATTGGATTTGGAGGCAGGTGAACCTGTAAAACAGTCACCCAAAGTAGGGTGGTAGGCATAGGTGCCCAAGTGAACAGAACCAGTGACAACTGACCATTTGCCACATTTTCAAGGCCTTTGTTCCTAGTGCCAAATGGCTGGTTGCTTCATCCCAACAGCTTCCTCAGTCTCTCTGTCTCTCTGTCTCTCTCTGTCTCTCTGTCTCTCTGTGTCTCTCTCTCTCTCTCTCTCTCTCTCTCTCTCTCTCTTCTTTTCTTTTCTTTTCTTTTTTAGTGGTACTGGAGATTGAACCCAGGGCCTTCTCGCTAAGCTACATCCTTAGTCCTTTTTTAAATAAATTTTTGTATTTTGAGACAGGGTGTCACTAAGGCACAAAGTTACACAGGCTGGGCTCAAACTTGCAATTCTCCATCTTCACCCTTCCAGAGTGCTGGGATTACAAGCCATGTAGCACCCTGTCCAGCTTATTGTTCCTCCTCCCTCTCCCTGTTCCTCACTTCCCATGAAGCAAGGTCTCCACCCATACCTGGGAAATGAAGAATCCTGGACTAAGGTTCTGGTAGGGTCTCCAGGGAACATGGAGAACTTATGGAGAGCCAGCAAGCTCATGAGTTTATAATCTCACAGCCCGGCACTGGGTCAAGCTAGTGGACACTGGTCTTACTGGCATGAGGGGTGGAAGTTTTCCACGGAGAGTCATTGACACTCACCTGGGATGTTTTCATGGAGGGACTTTTGAAGGCCCTTGTTTGAGGCCAGCTGGCCCCTCTCTGACATTGTGACAGCAGGTCATTTTACCTTGCACACTAACACCAAGGGATCATCAGCTAGCTCACCTGATGCTCCACATCTGGGCTCCACAGGAAAGGGTGTGTGTGTGTATGTGTGCGTGTGCGTGTGTGTGTGTGTGTGTGTTTATGTGTGTGTAAGCAATGGCAGCCAACACACTTGGACAGTGTGGACTGCCCTGCCTCACCCCTCCTCCTGCTAACAGTCATTTCTCTGCTTCCAGGTATTTTCCTACGTAGCCACTTTGCTCTATGTGGCCCATGCTGTGTTCTCTTTAATCAGATGGAAGTCTTCATAAAGCAGCCGAATTGAGCTGAAAGCCCAGAATGGTGTTAATTTGTCAGCCTGCCTTCCAGCCTAACTTTCTAAAACACAGACACGATCTCCATGATGGAAAAAAAAAATCAAACCAAAAGCGAAAAAGAAAAGGCCACACTCTGTTTCTGCAGTAGCATGTTTACCCTCCCACACCTTCACGTCAGGGCTTTGGGGGCTTGCCGTGTTTAACCTCCAACGCTGAGCTATCTTTCTAGAGTCACTTCCTGTCTGTGAAAGGGGCCAGTGGGGATGGGACATGACCTGTGATGGAAGCAACAGTCTCCTGCTGACTCCTGGACCCAACCTTGAGAAGCACCTTCCAGACTATTCCACAGGCCCTCCATTTGAGGGGATATTTCTAAGTCTTCATGGATATTCTGCATGTCATAGGAACTGCAACCCACCTGACATGCTTCCAAATGTCCATGGTGGAAGCTAATAACCCTTTGGAATACTTTATAAAGTGCCTTTGTGTTCCATACTTTTGTGAGGTATTTTCTGGGTTTGGGTTTTAATTTTCCATTATCAGGAACACCATCCTGTCAGCTTTCTTTCTAAGGAATCCTTTGATTTAACCTGACTCTCAAGAGGCAGCATAAAGTGACAGTTCAGATGACACTGTGTGTGCTCAGCTACTGCCCTCAGTAGGGTCACCCCCATCCCACCCTCCCAGCAACATCTGCCAAGACTGCTCGCAGCTCTCTGGAATCTTGACAAGTGGCACCCCCACCCCAAGACTCAGCAGTGTCTGCTCAATTACAATTTCCTTAACCTCAAAGAAAGCCAGGTGACATTTCCTCTCGAACTTTGTAAATCTGATCCAAAATATTCTGGGTCATGTGCTCTGTCTTCCATTCCAATTCATAATGTGAACAACCAGCTGGTTTCGGGGATGTCCTTGAGCCATCCCATGGGAAAGAAAGGGACCCACTACAGAGTTGAAAGGATTACAGGGACAGATCGTTGTTTGTTTTTGACCCTGCTAGGAATCAAACCCAGGGCCTTGACCACACTGGGCAAGAGCTTTACCTCTGAGCCAAACCCCAGCCCTAAATTGGACCTCTGACAAATTCAGGAGGTCCTCTGTTACCCCAGAGGTACCAAAACCTGGCCACTTCCAGTGAGTCCACTTAACACAGGCAAATTTCATAGTAAATCAAAAGCCAAAGGTTTGAATAGGATCCCTCTAAAAATATTAAACAACAAATTAAGAAAAGGCAGGAAATTTGTTGTATGCTTAACAAAATTTGCAATGAGTGTTGATTAAGGAAATTTTTTTTCTTCAACAAAACTGCCCCAACCAAACTACACTAAACCAGCTATTCTAACGAGCCTCATTTTTGGAGGGAGGATGAAAAATAGGAAAGAAAGGAGGAAGGGAGGGAAGTAAGGAGGGAAGAGGAGAGAGAAAAGAAGGGAAAAGAGAGAGGGAGAGAAAGAAAAGAGAGGGAGGGAGGAGAAAGAGGAGAGAGGGACAGAAAAAGTTAGTTGAATTTCCCAAGGGTTTCTCAATATTTCACAATTTTAATCATTTAAAGAAACTCCGCTCTTGCTTTTTTAATAGCTGCCAATTGATCCAACTGTAAAATCCTTATTAGTCAAAGACTTTATAGATGATTCTCTGACACGACTTTCTCATTCCTTCTATCCTGAGTCATCTTTAAAATCTGCAGTGTCCTTTCCCCATTTCTCATTTGAACTGCATGGTAGGCATGTACACCTCCACCTCCCGGGCCTCTCCCAGCCTTGCACCCCCTCTAAACTCTGCCTACCCCGGCCAGCGCCCCAGCTCCTGCACTCAGCGCTGGGCTTTGCACCTAGCTGCTGGCTGCCGGCAGGTACAGGCACTGGCTGCCAGGCAACCCTACCTGCTGAGGGCACAGCTCCTCCTCTCCCCTCTGCCCGGGGAGGAAGGGATAGAGATGAGATGGGAACATCTAAGAAGTCTGCTGGGCTGTGGCAAAAGGTACTGGGCCTGCAGCGTGACTGAGTACCTTGCATGTGCTGGCACCACGGAGCCCTCAAGGACAGGGCTGATTTCTGCCCCAAGTTCCTGTTGCTAAACAGCCCCTGGCTTTCATGTGGGTCTCGGGCAGGAGGAGTTGGTCTGGAGCACACCAGTGTCAGCCGAGGTTAGATGGGCTCTCCAGAGATGCTGGCTGGCTGGTGACTTTGAGATGGATCGGAGGTCAGGCAGCTTACGTTCAGTTCCCACCAGCATCGCCATCTTACTTGGTGTCTTTGGGAGTCCACCTGGGGCACCCTGTAAGCCCAGGGCCCTGAGCTTGCTTATTCCCAGAGGGTGCCAGGCTTGTCCTTACAGGCAGGGTGGGCCTCTGGCCTCTCAAGAAGTGACACTAAGACTTTCCAGTGGATATGACATGAGTGGGCAGGAGCCTGCCATGTTGGTGGGCACAGGTCCTGGTTACCTTTCAAGAATGCTGGCTGCTCTGAGCTGCTGGCTTTCTATGGTGCCAGGTCAGGTAGCTCCTGAGTCGCTCCACAGCCCCATGGAATCAGAGACCCCTGGTCCAACAGATACTGTGTAAAGAAAGTGAGGAACGGGGTTATTCTTTCACAGAAGAAAAGAGCTAAAATATTAAATAGCTACAAATATCTGAGATGTGACCAAGAGCCAGAGCTTGCAGAGAAAATCAAGCAGGAGCTGACCACCCCTCTGTCGTCCCCACCAAGGTGCAGGCCCAGTCTCACACGGGGCCACTGGACTGACCAGGCCTTGCGGATCACTGTGCAGGGCTTCCTACTCCATGACCAGGGGGGTCACACCCCAAGGACACAAGGGCATTCAGCCCCTGGCCAGTTGCCAAAAGTCCCAGGGCCAGTGCTCTGCAAACATGGGCTTCATCCCACCTCTCCTCCTGCAGGTCTGCCCTCTAGCCTCTCAGGAAACTTTATGGTGGGCAGATGCCAGCTGGCAGGGCTTCAGAGGGTGGGGCCAGGCCTTTGTGACATTTGTGACATTGGTGAGGAGTGATCCAGCGTGACTTAGACCAGGCAGTGGCTTGGTGTTTCAGCACCCTTCCTCCTCCTTTCTGTGGCCCCTGGGGACATTGTCATGGGAGGGAGGACAGTGTCATGGTAGGGTGCAGGTGTGTGGGGGGATAACATGCGTCAAGGAGTGGGGCTCACACAGCAAGGTAGATGTGGGTCAAATCCACCCAGGACATTTGGAGCTCTCATCTGTCTGTCCCTGGCCATGGCCCCTTGCTTCGTGGGGCATCCTCCTGGTAGCCTTTTCCATGTAGCACAGGGAGACCCAGGAAGGGGTTCATCCCACATGAGTCCCTCTCCCCTGGTAGCCAACCTTCCACACCTGCACTGCACACAGTAGGTCCACACAGTGGATCTGCCCACTTTGTAGGAACTGGGCTGCATCAGCCTTCTAGATCTTCACTCAAAGACCCTGGCTCCCTGAAGCCCCCAGGTTGCAGGACTGTTAAGCAAGGCTGCCCACTCAGGGACTGAAGGCCTCCCTGCCTGACCTTAAAGAGGCAGTGAAGGGTTCACACTGCCAGCCCTGGGCCGGAGCGAGCCAGCCTGCAGGGCCCACACAAGGGCCTCTTGTTCCTGGAATCAATTGGGGCCGGTGTGGGGTCACAATGGGGCCTTTCAAGGAGACAAAGCGCCTCTTGCCCAGCTGAGTGTCCCTGCACACATGGGCATCCGCCCAGGGCATTTAAAATAATGCAATTTAAGAAAACAGATTTAAAGTTATTTTCCCCGCTCTGCATGGTTCAATAATCTTCATTACATCTCCATCACACCCGGTGATGGTGGCTTCTAAGAGCTGAGCATGGCAGGCAGACACTGGGGCTCCAGCTGGGACCCTTTTCTTCCTTCCTAGGTGACTGGGATAACCACAGTGCCAGGATCTGTCAGGTGACACCAGAAATGTTTGATGAACACAGGGCACTAAGCTGCCAGGATCTCTTTCCACAGCACAAGCTCAACCAGCCCCTGGATGGAGAACTTGTGCCAAAGCCACCAGGGCCCAGTGCTGTGTGAAGTGCTTTACTTCTTTGCTTAGTCCTCATGACAACCTTATGCAGCCCTGTGCTGGTCAGTTTTCCATTATTGAGATGAAACACCCAAGGTAACTGATAAGGAAGGTTTATTTTGGCTCACAGTTTCAGAGGTTTCAGTCCATGGTTGCTTGGCCTGGTTGCTGAGACTGTGACAGCACAGTCCATTGAGGTTGGAACACGTGGCAGAGGAGACCTGCTTACCTTATGATGACCAGGGAGCAAAGAGAGAGAGAGGAAGATATTGGGGTCTCAATATTCCTTTCAAGGGCACAGCCCCAATGACCTAACTTCCTTCCACAAGGCCCTGACTTCTAAAGGTCCACCACCTCCCAACAGCACCACAGACTGATGACCAGGCCTTCAACATATGGTCTTGGAGGACTTTCAAGATCCAAGCTAAGCAAGTCATACCATCTAGAAGAAGAATCTGAGGCACAGAGAGGTTCATTGGTCTGCCCAAGGTTACCCAGGAGGAAGGTATAGATTCCAGTTCCCGGGGTCAGGCATGCCCTGTGTCTTACCACAGTGAGGTCCTTGTCACACTCACAACACAGACTTCATCAGTACTGAAGGCTCCTAACAGCATATGAGAAGTCAGGGAAACCCAACCAGGAGTACAACCTGGAGGGAGGCCTGGCCAGGCAGAACAGCCAGGGAAGTCTTCCACAGCTGCAGCATAGGAGGGAGGTTCAAAAGTACCAGCTGCGGTTATCATTATGAGACTGACATAGGGAACAGTCTGGAACAATCCCAAAGTTTCTAGCCAGGCAGATGATAGTTATTTAACCTCTGTTTATTCAGTATGGTCCTGACATCCTGTCAGAAGCACGTATTGATAGTTGTGCTTTCTAATTAGCCATGACATTGTTAGAAATAGCCTCACCTAGTAAACCCTACTTCAGTCCTTTGGGAAGGAGGCTGATATGCTTTAGGTCTAAAATATCTCCCACAATCTCATGTTCGGAAGGTGATTGCATTATGGGGCTGTGATTGTTAACTGTGATACATCCACTCAACTCAAGTGAGAACTGCCTAGCACATTAGCAAAGCTCTGGGCTATCTGTGAAAAACAGACATCTCAGCTGCCAGCTGAGGAGGGAAGACTCATCCCAGATGTGGGTGGTACCAACCAGCAGGCTTGGCAGCTAGATAGAATAAAGGGAAAGAAGACAGAAGTCTTCCCCCTTTCTTTGGAGGATGTCCGGTCTTTGCCTTTGGACATTCATCTCCAGTTCCGTCAGGCTTCCAGTGTAGACTCTTCAGCTGTCCGGCCCAGACTTTTCAGCTTTCTAATACAGACCAAGATTGACAAGTACAGTGAGCTCCAGGCCTTCAACCACTACTGGATCCTCCAGCTTTCCAGTACACATATGGCCACTTTGGATTCTTCCACCCCTCATTCCACAGGCAGCCCTGGACTCCCCTTCTGATCCTG